TTTTGTTCATATTGTTCCGTGAGGAGAAAATTGTTGGTTAGAAAGATATTAGCAGCATCTAGTGCGTGTTTTGCTTAGCTTATAAGTGTATTTATGATTATTTAACTAAGTTTAGAGTAAATAATATATTGTTTCTCAAAGTTGAAATTTATTAAATTACTTATTTGAAAGTAATCCCTACCTTACTCCTAAAATAACAACACTTTTTTTACTTTCGTGTAAGAAAAGAGTAACTTATCCAACATGTTCGAAAGAAATTTTTCTTTAAAGTAGTTTGATTCACGTTTAAGCTTAGCTAAACATGATGTTAATCAACATTATCAACTTTTCTGTGTACAACATCTAGCTATTGCAGAGTGTTGCGTGTTGAATTAGTTGTGTGCGCAATACTTGTGCCTGCAGCAGAGATGAAAAGAAAATGGAATGAGGAGTCGAAGCCTGCTCTAACTTTGGAAGAACTTTCCGTGTGGGCTAAAGTGAAACTTGCACCCTACAAGGTATGGCACATTGCCTTCTTCGAGGTGTTCACGTGGGACAAAATTACGGAGCAATCATCCCTACACTAAAAGCAAATTAATAAAAATTTCAAAGTTGAATTAGAACTGTGACGCTTCTCATTCCTACTTTATCTAATATTTTTTCTTAATGAGTTGGACAGAGACATAAGAATCCCACTTTCTAAAGTCTTTATTTTCCCGGAAGGGACGCTCTATCGGGAGGATCAAGAAGTTGAAAATTCTAGAAGTTTGCTTTGTGCTTTAGTAAACCGAAATGGAGAGATCTCTATCTCCCATGGCCCTTATTTTTCTTAAGAAAAAGAACGGAAAGAGATCTTATTTAGGTTGGTTTGTTTGCGAATCGAACATCTAATTGCATTTCAATATTCTATTTTCTCTTGGGAGGTGGATATTCATGTATTCAGACTGAGTTATATTTTCACGTGACTTCCATCTTTGTTAGGATCACTTCGTCATATATTCTCATTACTTTCTATATGTAGATGATATCATTTTGACAAGTAACGATTCTTCATTTTGAGGGAGGCCAGCCTTTTTGATTTTTTCATGATTCAAAGACTTCCTCTTTTTCATTATTATATTTGTTATTGTCTGAACATCTCATTTCATCGTTCTAACTGGCTTTTCTAGATCCCGACCCGCTTGCTACTACGGGACTCGCTGCCTCGTAATTCTATGGGAAAGGGGATTTAACCTTCAAGTCCTATTTCTTGTATCCTCATTTTACGCATCTTGTTCACCCTCCTTTCACAATGTTCCTCCACTTCATATGCTCAATGTCACCAAAAGCCTCTCAACTATGCTTTTTATTCCCGATTTCAGGTAAATAAGAAAGAGCTGAAGAAAAAGCTATCAGATGATAAACAATGATGGCTCATATCATAAGGTGAATTATACCATGCAGGGGAGTACTAGAAAAGAAAAAGAAGATAATTTTTTTTTCTATAACAGTGCCAAGTCCTCCAATTTCTTTTGGATGCAGATCAGGCATATGTATTAGACTATTTAGCTTAGCTGGCAATTGATTGTAGTTCCGTTAGTTGGTTAGATGAAGTTAGTTAGTTAAAGTTAGTTAGTTAACTGTAGTTTAGTGAGCTGGCATATTCTGTTAATGCTGGCATATTCTGTTAATGAACCAAGCTGTATTTATATCTGGTTGTACGACGTTTTCAGATGAATGAATCATTTCTTTCATTTCATAGCTTTCTTCTTCAATTTGGTATCAGAGCATTTCCTTTTTTTCTGAGAAATCCAATTTGATTTGAAGTTTGATTCATGGCTTTGAGTGTACCGAACTCAACATCAAATAATCCTTCATCGTCAGTCAGTAATTCAGTAACTGATGATGGAACCAGCCAGTATTTTCTACATCATTCGGATAGTCCAGGCCTTGTCCTCGTTTCACAGCAATTGGTTGGGGACAACTATGCATCCTGGAGCCGATCGATGATGATAGCACTCTCAGTGAAAAACAAATTAGGATTCATCAATGGATCTATTCCTCGGCCTGAAAATGACCAGGAATTACTCAATTCATGGATCCGAAATAACAACATTGTCATATCCTGGATTCTCAATTTTGTATCCAAGGAAATCTCTACAAGTGTCATATATTCCGAATCTGCATATGAGATTTGGATGGATCTAAAGGAGCGATTTCAACAAAGGAACGGGCCACGCATATTCCAGTTGAGGCGAGACCTGATGAATCTCACACAAGGTTAGTTACCTGTCAGTGCATATTTCACAAAATTGAAGACAATTTGGGAGGAACTCAGCAACTACCGACCTATGTGTTCATGTGGAAAATGTGTCTGTGGAGGTACTAAAAGGCTTGCTGAGCATTATCACACGGAATACGTTATGTCCTTCTTAATGGGGTTGCATGAGTCCTTTGCTCAAGTTCGGGGTCAATTACTGCTGATGGACCCTATTCCTCCCATTAACAAGGTCTTTGCCCTTGTTTCTCAAGAAGAACACCAGAGGAAAGTTAATGAAGCTATGAATGCATCTGGATCTGACTCCATGACCTTTCAAGTTCAAGGTAATACTAGAAAGGATGGTGGATATTATTCCAACAGAAATCAGAAGAAAGAGAGACCTGTGTGTACCTACTGTGGATACACAGGCCATGCAGTTAACAAGTGCTACAAACTGCATGGTTATCCCCCGAGTTATAAACCTAAGCAAAGACCTGCAATGAACAGCCAAGCTGGATCAAATAATCATGTTGTTGCCAATCAAGTTTTTGAACATCAAGTCACTGATCTTGCCATGGATCAATCACAAGGAAATGTTGAAGGATTTGTGAAATGACTTGATGCTGATCAATACTAGCACCTGATGAATATACTAAATAGTCACCTCAAGGCTGCAAAGATAGATACAGAGATGAACGTTATCTCTGGAAATGAATCAGGTACCTGTTTCTCGATTTCTGTTAATCCATCAATTACTTCACCTAAGTACTGGATAGTGGACTCAGGTGCCACAAGCCACATTTGTTTTAACCATTCGGCTTTTCACACTATGAATCACATTGAGAATGCATCTGTTACATTACCAAACCACACCAAGATCCCAGTGCATTCAATTAGGACAGTGCATTTGTCATCGGAATTGGTACTGAATGATGTATTATTTGTCCCCGCAATTCAAGTTCAATCTGCTATCAGTAAGCTCCTTAACCAGAAAATCATCATTGTGTATCAAATTTCTCACTGATTCATGTATCATTCAGGATCTGCAAACTATGAAGATGACTGGCAAGGGTGAGAGGAATGCAGGCCCTTATGTGATAGAAGTTAATTCTGATTCATTTCATCATCCCAAAAGTGTTAACTCCCCTTGTTTTTCAATAGTTAATAATGTGACTGATAAGCTTTGGCACAATAGGCTTGGTCACTTATCATATCAGAAACTGAATTTGTTGAAGGACCAATTGCGGTTTGATTGTAATAGACAAAATGGTGACATTGTATCTCCTTGCCCCATCTGCCCTTTAGCTAAGCAAAGGAGGTTATCTTTTGTTTCAAATAATTGTTTATCTGCTGCTACTTTTGACTTGGTACACTGTGATATTTGGGGGCCATATCACACCCCAACACATGGTGGTCATAGATATTTTCTCACCTTGGTA